ATATATCGTATGTAGAAAAATATTTTTAATAAATAAACCTTGAAAAATACTCATGATTAGTGAGGAGCTGTAACTTGTCTAGTTAAATGAAAAACACAAACTACAGATTCTAAGTTTAAAATAATCCTGAGTGAAAATGAAGTTTTAGTCTAAACACAATGCATGCTATTTAATTTTTCATTTTTAATAGTTTTGCTGATCTGTAAAAACTTAAGAGGATATATGTAAAATTGAAGTCTGTTTTATTTATTTGGGTCTCATTATTCTCATAGTGGCCTTGACCTCCTGGTGTAGCCAAAGATGACCTTGAACTTCGGATCCCTCCTGCCTCTCCGGCTGGAGAGCAGACATTACAGACATGGGCCCCAGGCTTGGCTTTGTGCCGTTCTGGGGGTTCATGAATGCCAGGTGTGCTGATTAGTTTTATGTTAATTTGACACAAGCTAGAGTTATTTTAGAAATTTTAGAAAAAATTTCCCCACCCGATTGACCTGTGAGCATGCGTGTAGAACGTTTTCTTGATTGGTGGTTGATGTGGGAGGGCCCAGCTTATTGTGAGCACCGCCACCCCTGGGCTGGTGGTCCTGGGTGCTCTTGGAAAGGAGGCTGAACAAAGATGGGCAGCGAGCCTGTAAGCAGCGCCCCTTTGTAGCTTCTACGCAGCTCCTGCCTCCAGGTTCCTGCCCTGCTTGAGTTCCTGCCCTGACTTCTCTCACTGATAGACTCTTATTTGGAAGTATAAGTGAAAATAATCCTTCCCTTCCCAAGTTACTTTTGGTCATGGTGTTTGATTGCAGCCATAGAAACCCTGACTATGACAGTAGGCAAACACTCTACCAATGGAGTCACGTTTTCAACCTCAAATTTATTAAAGTATTCATTAAAAAGTGTTACTAGTTTGGCACCGTTTGTTCAGGTATTAATTAAGTCTGTCAAATATCCTTTTAAAAGAAGCACAGGGGACCTGTGAAATTAAATGTATAGCATTTTATTTCTGCTTGTGTGTAACTTTAGTTGTTGAGGTTACGATAAGAGTTCACGACATCGCACCTCCTAATTATCTCCCTGTGTAGCTTTGAACCTTCTGTAATCACTAGTCAGTTGATTCATGTCCTTCTGTGTACTGTAAGACACAGATCCTGGAGTACATTGCAGCTGCCAGAGCTTGACCAGCTGTGAACCTGGGGATGTGTTCCTTAGCTCTCTATCCACACAGGAACAACATCGTGAAATGAACCACAAAGGAGTCTCACGGATCACAATGTCTCAAAGACATTGATTGTTATATCAAATCATCGCATGAACACCTAGAGGGGCCGAGTGCTGTCCCTAGAGTGGAGCCTTAGAATAATACATTTCTGATTAGAGTTGTCTTCTAAAAATAGTTGAGATTTAAGATTTAAGTCACCTTTAAGACAGGAACTCAGGGCTTGCTGGTGACAACCTCCATTTGATTCCATTTCTGCCCACCTAACCAGTATGGATCTTTTGGTGTTTTCCGTGTTTGGCATGTGCCGACTGAGCCTACACACCATCCTTGGTAGACAAGTTGACAAACACAAGCCGTATTTACCGTTAGTGTTACCTGAGAGCAGTCGCTACCAGCAATGATTTTGAGGCCTTCCAGGTTTTCTTCAGTTATTTTAAGACAATACTGTAAAAGCTGAAAAACAAAACTAACTTCTCCCACTTGTAATTGATACACAGTGCAGCTCACTTATGAAGTAAGAATGTTCTGTGTTTTAAGATAAGTGAGTGACTGGGCTGTAATTTAGTGAGGAGAGGGAGCCGTTTGGAGGGGACATTATCGTGAGGATCTTGGGCATCAGTTTTCACTACATTTTTCTTGGCTAACTTTCTTTGAAGCATTTGTCTCTTTATTCGCAGCCTTGGAAAAGCTAAAATCAACTAAAAGACTTCAAGCCTCGTGCTTTCTGATTGCCCTCAGGTTCGAAGGGCCGTTAGTAAAGATAGACTTGTATATTATTAATTATTAGTGCTTACAGCAAAGAGTAAACACACCTATGGGGATTATCATCCCCTTTACCCCAGAAGTTTTTTATGCAATTAAAACCCTACTTCAAAAAGAAAACAGAAACAAAACCAAAAAACCCAAGTAGAAGTGTTCTGGAAAGGATAGCAATTGAAGCGCCTGCTTTGGCCATGGCCCAGAGTAACCATGAGGGATGCAGCTAGCATATACCAAACCATACTTGTTCCTCTGCCAATGGGTTTGTTCTATCCTTTTCTAATTGGCTGGATTTTATGAAGCTCCTTTCTTGGTTCGTCATCCCCATTAGCATGGCACTAAGGACCCAGGAGATAATAAAATCTTATATTCGTTAATTTCACATCCCCCGTATCTTTTCTGATCAAATTTAATTTTAAGTTTAAGAGGCAGAGGTTATGGACTTCTTGCATATGCATGTTTTAATTTGACTTTCCCATCAACCCCGTGTCAAGGGTAAAGGACTCAGGAGAGTTTCTGCCTGTTTAAAAGTGAAGAAGTTGAGGAGAAACAAGAAGTTTGACTGTTAGATCCAAGACCATCTCCTGGCCAGCGGACAATGTAAACTGTTGTGGGGTCTTACCTTGTCAACACAGCAGCCCCTGTTACCACTTATCACCCTGACCTGCAGAGTTTCGGGAGTAACTGACCATTGAAAGCTGAGCCCTAAATGGGATGTCTAGATCATTCTGTCCAAGGCTCAGGGAACATTGCTTCTTCAGTGATGGGTGCAGAAGCATGTAAGGCCTGGAGGAGGGGAACATCGTCATGGGATCTATCTTTTTGGATGTGGCATGGCTTCTGCATGTCAGCTCTGAGCTGCACCAGACTGGTACAGAGGAGGGAGGGATTCATGAGGCCCCATCCCTCCCTGAGACTGCTGATGCAGTTTATGCTTGTCTGAAGAGGGAGCGATGTTTTCCTTAGTGGTATAACCACTGGTGTGGTGCCCATGCTTCTATTAAACAACCCCTTCCTCAGGCTTCTATAAGCGATACTCAGTGGACCGCAAAGAGAGGGTGGGGTGGGTAGGGAGGGGGAGTGGGGTGATACCTCTCAAGGGAGGAGACTGCTTGGGAAGAGAAGGGATTAGCAGGAGTGAGAAGACAAGCAAGGGTTATGAAAAGGTAATGCATTATTAGATGTATGAATGTATCCTAATGAAGCCTGTATTGTGTATAATTCATATGTGCTAATAAAGCCCATTTACTAAGCACTAGCTTGACCACTAGAGAAGCCACAGTAGCTCCACTTTGACTCCCATGTCAGCCCTGTGTCTGATCTTCATAGTGTTGAGGTTGGAGCTGGAGTTATTCCCTTCACGCAGGTATTTTTGACCTTTGACTCCACTGACGAGAGTCATGCATGAGTCTTCTACTTTTTGCTAAGAAGATGGGCTGGAGAGATGGCTCAGAAGTGAAGAACACTGACTGCTCTTTCAGAGGATCCAGGTTCAATTCCAAGCACCTACATGGTGGCTCACGACTGTCCAGAACTCCAGTTCCAGAGGATCTGATACCCTCTTCTGACCTCCACAGGTGCCAGGGGTACCCGTGGTGCACAGACATACATGCAGACAGAACACCCATGCAAATAAAATAAATTGAAAACTAAAAAAGAGGTTGGAGTAGTTAGGTTGTGTTTTGTGGCTGATGCAATTGAGACTCAAAAGAAGAAAGTGACTTACCATTGCTCATGTATACCATTAATAACAAATGCTAAGATTCGAACTCAGAATTGGAGGCTACAAACTTATAATACCCCAAATGGACTCTAACCCTCTGAAACCATAAGCTGCATGTTAAATGCCTTCCTTTATAAGTGGACTTGGTCATAGTGTTTTATCACAGCAATAGAAAAGTAACTAAGGGAGTAGTTGGTACCAGGCAGTGGACTGTTGCTTTTACAGGCCTGACTGTAGTGTGGTTTTGGAGGAATATGGAAGACTTTGGGACTTTGGACTAGGAAAGCCTTTGGTTGCTGTAATCAAGGCTTCATGGGTCACCTTAGTAGAATTTGGAAGACAGTAATGCTAAGAGCAATGTAGATTGTGCAGGCCCAGCTCAAGAGGTTTGGAGCGGTGTATTATTTGTGTCTTGATAAATAAAGCTTGCCTGAAGATCAGAGCAAAGCAGCCACACTAGTCAGCCGTACGGGCCAGGCGAATCAGAGAGGAACAATATTAGCAGCTGGGCTGGAAGGCATTCTTGTGATGTTTTGGCAAGGAATATGGCTATATTCTGCCTTTGCCCTACAAATCTGCCTGAGGAATAACTGCAAGTTATCAATCTCCTTGATGGAGGCGATTTCAAAGCAGCTTACTATGGCCTCTGTTGCATGGTTGTTAGTAATCACTTATATGCAGGTCTACAGTGAAAAGAGCAAGTTGGGGGCGGGGGGGGAAACAAATGCAAAATATACATTATGAAGAGAAAGATAACACCAGAAAATCTAATGTCGGAGTCAAGGCTTGTGCTGAAAGAGATGAGAAAATTAAAGAAAGACCTGATCCAAAGCGAGCTAAAGGGAGGAGGACACTCAGGTCGAGACCCCATGAGCTAAGCTTCCAAGGAATTTTCTGTGTCTGAAAGGACACGGAAACAAGGCTGCAAAGACCCCAAGGTCTGGTCCACACTGATCATACACCATCACTGAGCCTCAGGCCCAGCCTTGGTGAAGAGTTTTCATGTTTAGTGCGCAAGCTGTTGTTTAGGTCAGCCTAGCTGCTGGGCTGTATTTAGCCAGGCATTTGCAGATAGGATTGCCATCAAATTCCCCCGGTATTTCCTCTGTCACATGGTAAAGGAACTTTGCTTCTTGGAGAAAGAAATTGCCATCCACAGAACTGTTCAAATTTTCTTATATATATATATATATCGGGAAAGATTGGAGAGTGATTACAACACTCTCATTGACAGGATTTTTGGAAGCTTTACAAGGTACTACTGTGTTTCCTCAAATATCTAACCTGTCTGCATGTTTTGGTCTGCAGAGAAATGGTCAACGCATGGTTTTCAGAGAGAGTTCACACCATCCCTGTATGCAAGGAAGGCGTCCGAGCCCACACGGAGTCTTGCTCCTGCTCTTTGCAGCAGAGCCCTCATGCAGATAGCGCCACCTCTGGAGCGCCAGCCAGAAAAATCTCTGCCTCTGAATTTGACCGGCCTCTTAGACCCATCGTTGTCAAGGATTCCGAGGGAGCTGTGAGCTTTCTCTCTGACTCAGGAAAAAAGGAACAGATGCCACTAACCCCACCAAGATTTGATAGTGACGAAGGGGACCAGTGCTCAAGACTCTTGGAATTAGTAAAAGACATTTCCAGTCACTTGGATGTCACGGCCTTATGTCACAAAATCTTCTTGCACATCCACGGACTCATCTCCGCCGACCGCTATTCCCTATTCCTTGTTTGTGAGGACAGCTCCAAAGATAAATTTCTTATCAGCCGCCTCTTTGATGTCGCCGAAGGTTCGACACTGGAGGAAGCTTCCAATAACTGTATCCGCTTGGAGTGGAACAAAGGCATTGTGGGGCATGTGGCAGCTTTTGGTGAGCCCTTGAATATCAAAGATGCCTATGAGGTAAGTAGGGGAACATAGAGCCTCCAACACTGGTTGTGAGGAGTGGTGGGAAGGTGGGAGGTTGAGATGTGATAATTTGAATGATTGGAATGTAGCCAGGGCTGTGGCTTAGTGGTGAAGTGCTGTGCCTAAGTGTTGGATTGAATCGCCAGCTCTCAAGGGATTGGGGAGATTAAAAAAAAAAAAAAAAAAAACACAAACAAAATTAACTAAGTATGCTAGGTTGGTAGCTTGTCAATGGCAGTTCTTCCCTAGTGCTTTAGTACCAGGCAGGGACCGAGGGAAGTCTTTTCTTTTTCCATTAAATATAATGTAAGCAAATCCATCTCATATTTGCATGCTGATGAGTCTAGGCTGTTTCTGTTTGAACTTTCTGATTTTTAAGCTGGGATTCTAAAATGATAGGTCCAAGACTTGTCAAAGTAAATAAATAAACAAGCCTGTCACCTTCTTCTTTCATTCAGGATGCATTCGAGAAGGCACTGCTGTCTTTTGAAATCCCATTGACACCGGAGTTTGGTTTTCTTTCCTTTCATCTTTGCTTGGCCTTTTTTTTTCTTTTTATCAGATGGCACTCTTGGGATGTGTGTGTCCTACTCAGTTGTTAAGTGATGACTGAATGCTGGGAGATGGGGATTGCTCAGCTTTCGGTATTAAGTTTTTATTTGCAAAGATAGTTGGAGCCTTTCTGTTTCTGCATCGCTGATTTTGGAAATTTTGTCAATGCCTGGTCTCATTTTTCTGTTTTCTTTAAATTTTTAAAAAACACTTCATTGTACTAAACTTACAAATAAAAATATCATGCAGCTAGATTAACATAGTCCCTCAAGCTAACACTTGGTGAGTCCCAAACGCTATATATCTAATGCATAAACGCTGTTCTATTAGGATAGCCATTCTGAAGTCATGGAGCTTAGATTTTATACTTTCACACCCATTATTTTTATCCCCTTATCCACAACAAATTTGCTTTATATCCTTTACTTCAGTCCTGTCCGTCATCATTAATATTACTATTTTTTCTTCTCTCTATATGTTCCCACACATATATTTGTATATATGAGAAGGGAGAATGGGCATCCTATCTTATTCCTGACTTTAGAGGAAACGCTTTGCTTATTTCTCTGTTCAATGTAATATCGACTGTAGGTTTGTTGTAGATAACCTTTGTTTTCTTGAGGTATGCCTTATCTGTTCCTAATATCTCTAGGACTTTGTTATGAAGCCATATTGAGCTTTATCAAATGCCTTTTCAGCATTAGTCAAGATGCTTATATAGTTTCTGTTCTTATGATTTTATTTTTTAATGTGTGTTATTTATTTATTTAATTTACTTGTGTGGGACCAGCCTTGTCTTTCTGAAACAAGACCCATTTGGTCATGGTACATTATCTCCTAAATATGTTTTAAAATTTAATTTATAAGTATTTTGTTGAATTTTGCATGTGTGCTCAGCAAAGAAATTGGTCTTTAGTTTTCCTTCCTTCCTTCTTTCTTTCTTTCATAACTTTACCTACCTAGTTTTAATGTCAGGATGATATGGTTTTATGAAATGAAGTTATTTCTTGTATTGGTTTGTTTCCAAGTATCTTTGTAGTTTCTTATACCTTTTCTTGTTGATTTTTACTTTGATTAAATTGTGATCAGATCAGATGAAAAGAACTACCTCAATTTTTTTTAAAGATTTATTTATTTATTTATTATGTATGTAGTATTCTGACTACATATATCCAGTAGGCTAGGAGAGGGCACCAGATCTCATTACAGATGGTTGTGAGCCACCATGTGGTTGCTGGGAATTGAACTCAGGACCTCTGGAAGAGCAGTCAGTGCTCTTAACCTCTGAGCCACCTCTCCAGCCTACCTCAATTTTTTTTTAGTACTTATCGAGACTTGATTTGTGTACTGTGATATGATCAAGTTTGAAGAAAATTCCATGTGCTGCTTAGAAAATGTGTATTCTCTATTTGTGGGGTCAAATATTGTATGTGTGCATACACACACATACATAGGCACATGCATATATGTTACAACTAGTTGATTGTTAGTGTGTTTTAGCTGTGAAGTTCTTTGTTTGCTTTTAGTATGGAAGACATCTCTAAATTTGACAGTAGAGTATCAAAGTTTCTCAGTATTACTATGTCAAGACCTATGTGTTCTTTTGTCCTTTTATGCCTTTTAGTGTGTGCGTTTTTTTTTAAAATGAAATTAAAGCCTCTAGTATTTGGTGCATACATGTTTAGAATTGTTACATCTTCTTGATGAATTATTCCCCATATTAGTATATAATGTCCCTTTTAATCTCTTCTAATTGGTTTTTTAGTTTGATTAAAGTTTACTTTATTTAACATAAAGATAACTAGGTCTGGTTGTTTATGGTTTCCATTTGATTAGTAGTTTGTTGTCCATATTTTTGATAATAGTTTTTGGTTATCTTTGGTGGTTAATTGTGTTTCTTGGAAGCAATATATAGCTGGTTCTCGTTTTTAGAATCCATTTCATTAGTCTGCATCTTTTAATTGTGTGCTGAGGCCATTTATATTTAATGTTATTGTTAAAAAAAAGGGGGATCGAAGGGATTATTGTTATTCTCCATATGGTTTTGGGGGTGTAAACTGGGTTCTCTAGGAGAGAAGCCAGCGTTTTTAATCAGGGAGCCATCTGTCCAACCCCTTAAAATAAATTATAATTTTTAAACACAGTATCTTAATTGAGTAAAATGCTACTTTGCCTAGTGATGAAGTAGCTTATAGTGCCTAAGATTTGTTCCAGCTTTCTGCTATCCACTACACCATGAAGGCTTAGGGTTGGTGTGGCCCAACTCTATGTTTCCGGTGTCTGTTTTAGTGCTGGGCGGGTAGGACGTAATAAGATTTGCTGGATTAAAATGATATTAGATATAAAGGATAACTGGAATTTCTTGCATTAATCTCAGGTTTCAAGCTGGTCATATCTGTCAAGGCAGGGTCATCAGGATCAGGTGTGACATCAAGTGGGGAAGATGGGCGAAGACTTCTTTGGGAAAGAAATGCTTAGTGGTCCCTGGAAAATGTGTAGGACTCACGTGACTGGGATGTGGGCCCGATGAGACCCCGCAGTAGAGAGAATTGGGAAGGAAAGTCAGGGAAATTGGATTGTGGACTGTAAGTGTCCAAGTGCGAGTAGGCATTAGAGAGCTGTGGGTTCACAGCCAGGAAGCCGCCGAACTCTTGATATTGAGGCACTGAGGGAGCTTTGGAGGGTGGTGGGTATGCCTTAAACTGTGTGGTTTTTTTTTAAAAGATTTATTTATTTATTATGTAGATAGTATTCAGCCTCCATGTATGCCTGCACACCAGAAGAGGGCACCAGATCTCATTACAGATGGTTGTGAGCCACCATGTGGTTACTGGGAATTGAACTCAGGACCTCTGGAAGAGCAGTCAGTGCTCTTAACCTCTGAGCCATCTCTCCAGCTTCCCTTAAAATGTGTTTTAAGAGGAGAACATTTCACCTTCCGCAGCCATGAAACGTATTATAAAGAAAATCTAGAGGCTGCGAGGATAGATTATTTTAACAGTCTGTAAGTGAGGGAGTGGGTCGCTGAACCGGTGGAAACCAGTACAAAGGAGCGGAGTTCCCAGCAGGAGAAGCTGTGGAGTGTGGCCGCTGGCGCTGGCGGGGGACAGCAGTGATAGACAACAGAATCAGAACGGACTGGAGTTTTGGGAAGGGTAGATGAACAATGGCGGTGAGGAACGTCAGGGCAGCGGTGTGTCGTGATAGTTCAGGTCGTTTAACTCTCCGGATAGTTTTCTCCCCAGAACCCGTTGTGTGTACTTTCTTTTCAATTTTGGTGCTCGTTGAAGAACTTAATGTTCATCGTGGAGCTGCTCTGGGCCTCCGAGTGCTCTAGTAACATCACCCTGTGGCTGACTCCAAGAACCAACAGCCATACTTTCTGTTCCTGCCGGATTTGCATGTCCTTTCTCTTCCTGTGTAGGGTACAGAAGGATTTATACTCTTCGGTGGCACTGTAGTCCCAAGAATCCTAGGAACATACATACTCTTTCGAAAGCTGCCATTTCTCCTGTGGTCCTGTGTGTCTCCAACATGTCAGCTCTTCTCTTGCCTCATTTTATTTAATCTACTTACCATGTTTAAAGTTTGATGATGTGTTTTTGCTTTGTAGTTAATAGTGGTTGATTCTTAGGCTATGGTTTAGGCTAACCAGGGCCTCTCATTTGCACTAATCCTAAAGGTGTAGCCTTTTAGACTCGGATTCCTCCTGCTCTCCACCGTTGGTACTCTACATCATTATTTATGATGGCTTTGTGGACTTTCGCGTCCACTAATTCCATCATGAGTGTGGAGTTCATCTGTGTTCTAATTTACATTGGTATTAGGCCCTGGACGTCATTTATCTAATGGAAAATTCTTCTCTCAGCTTCAAGCATAACATGAATAATAAAAATACTGTCTCAGGGCCTTTTGTAAAAATAGTCAGATCATGAACATATGTTCGGATGCTTCCTGAGTCTGGCTTCTTTAACCATGAACTAGTAAAAACGACACTGCCAGTGTGTTTGTTCCTTAAGCTTATTTGGCCACGGAACGCTTTCAAGGTTGTAATGCAGAAATCCAAGAGGGGGTCATGAAATATAACTGCTTATTTTGAAGCTGAGAACAATTTTTCAATCTTCCTGGATACTTTAGTTATGAGAAATTATCAACATTTGATTCACTACTTAGAAATTCACCCCAGAAAATTATATAAGATAGCACATATCTGAAAATACAGTTAAAACTGATAAGCTAGCACATTGCCTTATTTCAATTATGAGTTAATATCCTCATCTTAGCCCAATGGCTCTGTTAGACCACGGATACCAAGGGGAGGATTAGCTGGCAGGAACTGTTTAAACACTGATTGATGTTGGTTGGGTCTTATGACTTCCTAGTTGGGGAAACTTCCTTCGTGTGGCATTGGCTCTATTAATAGTAAGACAAAATCAAAAGATTTACCAATAAGAAGGTAAGGAAATGTTTGTATGTGTAAGATATTGACTTAACAAGCTATGTTTTCATAATAACAAAATATTCAGTACCTACACAAGACCACCTGAAAGGGTGCACTTTTTAAAGGAAAGTTTGTGTAACCCCTTCCTGTGATTCTTTTATGTCGTAAGGCTTTATATTATTAAAACTCCTGCCTCTCCCCTGACCTGACTCAAATGCAAGCCTCAGGTGCTGCTTCTCCGTGATGTCTGGAGGGCACAGATGATGTTAACGAGGATTCACGTCACCATTTACACGACTGACGTCATGTAACTGCCATCCCTCCCGCCCTCCTTCCTTTGCTTTATCCTTCCCTTCCTTTGCAGAGGAACACATCTGAGTCCTCTCTCTCACTCTGCGGTCCTCGCTTTCTGCTGAAGGACTCATACAGATCCCTTAGGCTTAAAGGCCTACGGAATCTCTCTGGTGAATTCCTAATGAGTACAGTTATTTCCAAAATAAATATTAGAAAAGGAAAGAGCACCAGCAGATGCTTCAATTTAGATAACGCATGGACTCCTGCGGTGCTGTTGTGCCCCCAGGGAACACAGTCTGGGAACTGCTGCGCCTGCGCCCGTCCACGGTCGTGCTCTAATTTTAGGCATTATCTTCAAAATGCCATTCTCGGAGAAAATGAGCCCTTACTTGGCAACTCTTCCGTGTTTTTGTTTTCTGTTATTTTCGTTTTGAACTCACAGATCAGTGTAAGAACCTTCCGCACCCGGTCTTCTTGGCCCTTTACTTGCCTTCCCCGCTTTGCTCCATCGTGTCCCTCTTTCCTTCCATCTCTCTCTCGGAAGTCTCACATGCTCAGTATGTTTTTATAGTAAGTCGAAGATATACTTTTAGTAAATATTTTATCATAGTTTTAATTTTTTATTGGAGTGTGTGTGTGTGAGAGAGAGAGAGACAGAGAGAGACAGACACAGAGATAGATATAGATAGAGATAGAGATAGAGAGAGAGAGAGAGAGAGAGAGAGAGAGATCACATGTGTAGAAGCCAGAGAACAGCTTACAACTTTTAGGAGTTTTTTCCCTCCATGCCCCATGTGGATCCCATGGATTGAACTCCAGTTTCCAGGCTCAGTGGCCAGAACCTTTCCCCACGGACCCATCTCACCGGCCCTTCATTCTGTGCTTTTTCACTAAGCATGTTCTTCTTAATGCAATAAAATGATCAACTTCAGCAGGACAGACACTGGTGCGATGCTCTTACCTAATGTGTACAAACATCCGATAGTCCACATTCAAGCAACGCCACTCATCCCTCCCAATAACCCTGGTGTGGTTGTTTTCCTTTCTCATTGGGATGCAGTTCAGGATCAGATTACGCGCAGAGCTGTCACGCCTCCCTCCAAGCTAATATGGTTTGTCACCATGTTTATCTTCCTTGATTTAGGTATGCTTGAAGGGTACGGGGCAGTTATTTTTAGACTGTCTGTCACAAGTTGACCGAAGTTAGGCCCTTTTGGCACGGGCACCCACAGAGGTCTAATTTTGAGACCGTCTTTGGCTTTCCAAACAACAGCTAATTCTCAATTCTCCTGTGTAACGTGGATGTTTATATCTGTTTAATTCTATGATTACCCCGGAGGCACAAACCCTATATGTTAAGGCGACAGTCCCTCCAGGGTGCCATGTTTCCCAACACCCATCTCAGAGGTGACCCTGGCAACCCACACTTCCTTCATGCTGTCTTCAGTAAGAGTCCCTGTAACCTTCTCAGGCTTCTGATCAGAAGAGCCACAGAACTCTGCAAAGCACTGTATCTTTGGTTAAAACTCTGAAACAGTTCAACTGAAGGGAACCCAGGATAAGACATGGGGGAAGGAAGAAAGCCCTGGGCCTCTCTCTGGTTCTTGGCTACCCCAGCGCAGAGATGCGAGGTGTTCCTAGAAGTTCCGCCAACCCTGTGTTTGTGTTGCAGTCTTGGTGTGTAGATACAAATTCTGCTGCTTTGACTACATGGTTGAGTTAAATCCTCCTCTTTATCAAATGAATTTGCAATTAGAACATGTGTTAACAAAATTTTTACAAAAGGTACATTTTTATTCTTAACATTTGATTTAGTACTTTGTACAGTAATTCACCAATCCTTAATTTTTACTTTTTTAACCCGTCACTATTAATATTCTTTCTACTTTTCTTAGATACAATGAAGTCTAAAGATAAAAACGTCTAGATAAGCAGAGATAAAATAAGAATTATTTCGCTAGAAACCTTTGGCTAACACGGCCTGTATATCTGAGTAAAGCCTTGTGCTTCTTTGCAGGAATAAAAACCTCAGGAATGCAGTGGTGCTTATCATGTAAAATATATATATATATTGATTTATATTTTCCTTTGAAGTTATCTTGAAAGCCAACTTCAGTTCTACCCTCTTGAGAAAACTGGCCTCATTTCTGACCCCATTTGATAGACTCTGGTGTAATCACCTGCTTCATTCACAGCCTTGGGCTTGCATGACTTTAGATCAACTTAAAGAAAAAAATAGAAATGACCTTCAAGGAAAGGAGGGCTTTCCTGTCTGAATATTCCATATTCCGGAGGGGAATTCCAAATGCAGCTTTTAGAGCAAGACCCCTATTATTAGGTGGAGCGCGGAACTTGCTGGGGTCCGTATGCCCTGGAGTGCTTGTTCCGCTCTCACCGTCTGTGCCCATGTATGACGTTCCTTTCTCAAATTTCAGTCCCCATGAACACACTTGGAAGATTATAATGAAGGACCACATCTGATAATGAGAGTATCACTATCATTTTTCTAATTTTTAGTAACTACCAAGTATTAAGAATACAGTAATCTGGTGGAAAGCTGCGTTTTTAACTTTACTTAATCCATATTTAGAACTTCTATGCTTTTCACACATCTTTTGTAATTCTTCGATATGTGTCCTTATGCTTAAAAACAGAAACAGTAAAGATGGGGCTAGAGAGATGTCTCGTCTCGGCAGCTGCTGCACGTGCCGAGGGCTGGGGTTTGCTCAGCTCCTGACCCACAGCAGAGAGTTCACAACTGCCCTAACTCCAGCTTCAGGGCGTGTGCTGACTTGCTCACCTCCTTGGGTACCTGCTTTCATGTACACACACACTTACACATTAAAATGTCAATTAAAAAAATGTCAAGAGCTAACAAACCCCTCACTAACACCCGCTATAGATAGAAGCAGCTCCAGCACTTTGGAGGGCAGAGGGAGGAGCCATGCTTCCCCACTGACAACCTCAGCAGCCTGGAGACTTCCCTTACACCTGAAAACCAAGCAAGGATTCAGGGCTTTGGTGCCAACAAGAAGGTAAGGACTAACCAGTTTAGGAAGCAGAGTCCAGGTTTAAGAAAGCTATTTGTAGCTGGTCAGTGGTGGCGGCAGCGCACCCACGCCTTTAATCCCAGCACTTGGGAGGTAGAGGCAGGAGGATCTCCCTGAGCCTGAGTTCAAGGCCAGCCTGGTCTACAGAGTTAGTTCCAGGACAGCCATGGTTACACAGAGAAACCCTGTCTCGAGAAACCAAAGGAAAAACAAACAAACAAACAAAACAAAACAAAAAACCCCCAAAAACCAAGCTATTTGTATATGAGTTTAAGAATAAAGGTTAAGAGAAGAAAGTTAGACATGCCCAGGAGTGTGTGTATGGAGCACTCACAGGGGAGGACTCACTGTGTGCTAGACAGTCACATATGGAATTAGGGTGGGGCTTGAAGTTACCATCTTTGACTAGCTGTTAAGACTGAGTGGCTCTTCCTGGGCACCCACAGGATTGCAGCTGATAAGGTGAGAGTCTAATCTACAGGGATGCAGGAAGACATCTTCTGTGTCAACAAAAGTTAGCAGATTTCTGGGCCAGAAATCATACACATTCAGGCCCAGGTCATTGCTACTTTAACGTAAGATTGCTCTTTATGAAATGAACATTAATTCTATGCCAACAGCTTTTATGGAAAATGTTTGTGCTGGAATTGGAGGTTTCCACTGAGCTCGTGAGAGGCGTTAGCCAGACTCTAGGATGAGCGACTCCTTTCTTTTCCACTTCCCATGATTTCCAGTTCTCTACTCTCCTGACAGGGTACTGTGGATGTGCAGAGCAGTCCTTACCCCGGAAACTGTGTCATTTGCTGGAAAGGTTTTAGGGCAGAGCTGCTTTCCTCTGAGTGACAGGGTAACAACAGTCCCTAGGCAGATGGAGACAGTTTCTCTGAGGTCAAAGATGCTACTTGTTCCTCAACCACAAAACTCTCTAAATATTTGTAGGCCATTTAGTTTGGAACAATTGTTGAAATCTTGGTTTGGGACAGGGCGCTTGGTTTTTGTAAGCACTGGAACCCCAGAACAGCCTCTTTGACAAACGTTATGGACTTACATGGTTTGATGTTTTCACAATGCTGAAATCGTTACTCAGGAGTAGCAGGGGAAGTCAAAGGTTAGATTTCTCTAATCTAATGCAAGAGAAAAAATCAAATCAGTCTTTGTACAGGTAGGCCAATAAATTGAATTTCTTTTTTCTTCCTAGGATCCTCGGTTCAATGCTGAAGTTGACCAAATTACAGGCTACAGGACACAAAGTATCCTTTGTATGCCAATTAAGAACCACAGAGAAGAGGTAAGCCGATTTTTTCATTTCCTTGAAAAGGTCATTTGGAAATATTTTTTGCTTTGAAAAATATTTTTTACTCTACACATGTATGAAATCATACTATAGTAACAAATTATCATTTGAATTAATGTATAAATACTTAAATGTTCTGCTTGGGATTTTTAAAAGCTAGTTACAGGGTTGAATGCTGATTAGAGACTTGCCTATGACCATTAATTGTATGCATTTTGCTTCCTATCTAATGGGTAGGAATTCTAATGGATTTATTTCACATTGTATGCTATTGTCTAACTAATGCTTATTTCATAAATGATCATCTAATTGGTATGGTTCTCGGTTGATTTCCTTGGATTTACATTGCAATAAGGAACACCTAGAAATCGTAGCTAGTTTCAATGACATATATTTAGATGTGAAATTATAGCAGGTATGAGAAAATATTTCGTATTTCATCTAACTAGAAGGTTTAGAGAAGCACCCAGTTCCCGCTTCATTTTAGACTTCCATGAAAGGAGCAGTAAATTGCCAATTAAACCAAATGTTTGGATTGTGCATTCTCAAATCTGAAATCACATTACAACCAACCTGGGGATTCTGAAGGATTGCCAGTTAAATGAGTCATTTTTGTTGTTGTTGTTTTGTTTGTTTGTTGTTTTTGTTTTGTTTTTCGAGGCAGGGTTTCTTGGTACAGCTTTTGGAACTTGCTCTGAAGACCAGGCTGGCCTCAAACTCAAATAGATCCGCCCGCCTCTGTCTCCTGAGTGCTGGGATTAAAGGCGTGCGCCACCACCACCCGGCTGAGTCAGGGTTTAAAAGGGAGTCAAAGGGATGCTTATAGATAAAGCTGAGATTTATTATGGGAATTAGCCAACATAGTTGGAGGCCAAGAAGCTGATAATCTTCCTTCATTAACCTGGAGAATTACTGTATCCAGTGGTGTAATTCACTGTGAGACCTAAGACCTGAAAGCCTTGGGGGCTGCTAGGCAGGGCCAAATCCAACGGCCTTAGGACCTAGAGTTCTGATGTTTGGAGGTTGGAGATGACCAGCTCAGCTTGAGGAGAGAGGGCAATTTGCCTCTGCCTCCGCCTGACTTGTGTACCCAGATCCTGAGTGGCTTGGCCATTGCTCCCATACATTGGTGATGCCCATATGCATTGGTAGATGAAGAATGTGCCTCATGGGATTGTTGACTGAGGTGCTAGTCCTTCCTGAGACACTGTCACAGGCATACCCAGAAATGGTTTTACCTGTTGTCTGGGCTCACTAAAAGGGATTGATAGATAAAATTAACCTTTAACGCAGGGAAGTCAGAATATCTGGATTAACTGTTCTGTTTTACCAGAGAGAGCATGTGCAATGGTAAGAGAGGCGTGGCAGCTGCCACCCCAGCAGGAAGCTGAGAGATCACATTTTCAAACTCAAGCACACGTTGGAGAAAGTGAAGTGGAAGTAGGGGCAAGGCTATGAATTGTAGGAACCGCCTCCACCGACATACCTAACATCCCCAGATCCGACACAAATGATAACACTACCAACTGGGGACCGGGTGTACACATAATGTCTGATCCAAACCACCACAAGGTCCACAGAGATTCTGGGTGCTGATGTGTTTTCAAAGCCCACTGTAGGTTCCCATAAAGTCTGTGTTTGTATTCGTCAGTCTTAACCTCAATTGTGTAGCAGAGAACTGTCTGCTATGGGACTTATGCCTTTCCTACGGCTTACCCTATCCAGACCCATGGTTCCAGCAAGGGTATGACATCAGCCAGATCTGTCTTCATTAGCCTCCCTTCTTTTCCTCTTAGAGGCAGTCTTAGCTTTTCAATATGTGGCCAGGACCAGTTCTCCTATCTTCCTAAGACTCCTCAGATATCACACCCAGGGTTAGGGTATGTCTCCAGAAGCAACCACACTACTGGGGCTTGTGTTTCTGAGACCTGATCCTTTGTCATTCTACTGGGGGAATGTCACTGTGAATGTCAAGTAGAGTCCTGGAGTTCAAGGGCTCTCAGACTCCACAGCATCGAAGGGAGATAGGTGGATGTGAATAGATTAACCTGGGGGGGGGCCCTCAGTTAATAGGACACCCCCTCTCCCCAAAGCTGTGTCAGGGCTACTTTGGCCATATACTTCACTGCCTGAGGCAAGCCTCCTGCCAATTGCACTTTTTCTCGTCAGTATCTGTGCCCTCCCCACTCCATTTTTGCTTCCTAGAGGGTTTCTCATTTTGAGCTCTTGCAGGTTAAATTGAAGCTCCCAGACTTGTGGTTATTCCTTGTTGTCAGGCCCTTAAGGTAGCTAAGTTTTAAATGATAGGTTCTTTTTTTAGGGTGTGCCTGGCCACTGCCCTCTGAGTCATATGGAGTGGCGGAATGGATATTTCTGGCCTCCTCTATTCCTCTCAGCTATTGACCCTTCTGCAGGAGGAATCACTGTTTGACCAAAACCCACAGCTGGTTTGGGGTTTGCAAAGCTGTGGCTTGTCCCGAGGCCAGGACTGCCTGTCTCTGTTCACCTTTGGGATGAGGTGACCGCTCCCTCCCCTCCCAGGGAGCCTGACTGGAGCTGCCTGACAGGGTTTGCTTCTTTTTGGAGCGGCTGTCAGTCTTTTTCTCCACATGTTTCTGTCATTGCCATTAAGAGAAGCTCTTCTCCTTCACTGAACAGTATAAAAGACATGTTTTCTTATTTTCTTTTCTCCTTTTTCACATCAGACAGAGGTAGCCTCTGACGACTAGCCTACCAAAAGTCTCTCAAAAATTTATACATGAAAATTTCCAGGCCCCGTGAGACTTTTAGGGATGATTGTAACGATTGTTTGCTCTGTCTTATTGCTTCCTGGATGACTAATCTGGGTTAATCCCTTTGAGCTTCACTTTCCTTCCGTGCAGCGTGGGGCTGTAAAAGACCCACCTCCTGAGCTGCATTGACTCTGCAGAGGGCCAGGCACGCTTTGGGGCGCAGTGGAAAGGGTCAGGAAACACCATCTAGCGCCTTTTGAAAGAACACAGATAAGTAGCAATAATGGAACTTGTAGCCAAGGGAAGCCAGAGGGAAGCCAGCCTTGTAATCAGCCTGCTGGGCCCCGGATGATAGTGGCACAGTCCTGGACTTCGTCATTCTGTTTACTATCCTCTAACTAACTGTAAACTTTCCAGGAAAAATGGCTTTCTGCTCTTTTTTCTCATGGCTGAGGCAGAGCGGATTTGCCATCTTTCTGTTTAAATCATTAGTATTAAGCTATCACCCATTCCAGTTACTAACCAGAGAACCTAAAAGAGCTATGGTTATTGAATTACTGTTTATGTCTTGTTTATAAAGGAATTTATACTTTTCAGTGACTGGTTATTCAAGGGAGCTAGATCTGGCAGTTGTGTGAATGGGGCAGTTACATATTAAATACTGAAGTCTGTGCTCTGATACATTCTGGAAGATTTTTAGAATTCACTAAACTACTGAATGTTGCCTCTTATTTATCTATCTATCATCTATCTAGGTATCTATCTATCCATCATCTATCTATCTATCTATTTATCTATCATCTATCATTCATTTATCTATCATCTATCTATCAATCATTCATCTATCATCTATCAATCATTTATATGTCAATCATTCATCTATCTCTCATCTATCTCTCATCTATCTATCTATCTATCTATCTATCTACTATCTATCATTCATTTATCTAGCATCTATCTACCAATCATTCATCTATCATCTATCAATCATTTATCTATATGTCAATCATTCATCTATCTATCAATCTATATACCTATTTATCATTATCTATTTATTTATCTAAGTGCACATACATGCATGTGCATGTACAAACATGGAGACAGAAAGTAGCTTTTAAGAGTTGGTTCTCTTCTTTCATCCTGTGGGTCCCAGGAATTGAACTCATGTCTTTAGAGTTAGCAGCGAGCACTTTCACTTGCTGAGCTATCTTGCTGGCCCAGCCTCTTGTTCTTGTGAGATACTCCAGCAAATTAAAATTTTAATAGTTCTTTTCAATAATGTTATAATATTATCTATCGTTGTAATCCATTGATGTAATGGATATAACCATACCATTTCAGAAGTCGGGATCATAGCTATTCATACATACAGTGCCGAGAGTAAGTTTTTATATTCCTCGCTCTCCTCATTTCCTCTTAAGATAGAGGTTAATGGGTCAAAAAAAACCCAAAAAAACCCCCCCAAAAACAAAAAGGAAACAAAACTAGTGAAGCTAGAGGAAGCTAAAGTATTCTATTTCAGAAGGGTCAAAAAAGCTATTAGCCAGAGGCAAATGAATGGCAAAGAAAGAAAGAAAGAAAGAAAGAGTGTTGGGGGTGGTGTCACATGCATTTAATCTCAGCACTTGGGAGGCAGAGGCAGGCGGATCTCTGGGAGTTCGAGACCAGCCTGGTCTACAAGAGTGAATTCCAGGACAGGCTCCAAAGCTACAGAGAAACCTTGTCTCAAAAAAAAAAAAAAAAAAAGAAGAAGAAGAAGAAGAAGAAGAAGAGAAGGAGGGAAGGAAGGAAGGAAGAAAGAAAGAACTGTCCAGGTTGTGTGAGAGTGGGTGAGTGTGTGGAATAGGACTAGGGGAGTAATTGCCTTATGTGTAGAAAACAGTTAGTTGTCGTGTGTGACATTTCTAGAGTGAATCCCGTGGGAACTGTTCTAAGGACCTGTCGTTTTGTAACATCTTATTCCCTGTTTACCGATGGGGAGACTAAGACTGGAACTAAAGTCCATAACTAGAGATTTCCAAACCAACATCCACAAGCATGCACTTGGACTGTGCAGTTGCAATACGGAGAAGAGGCTTCTTGACATTCTGCTATGGATGACAACTGGACTCTCTGTCTCTCACTCAGATTTCTGTTGCTTTGCATGGGAAGGGGCTCTGATGTGGAAATGTGGGCAAAGGCAGCCTTTGTTGTCTTCTGAAGGCTCTTCAGTGTTATGGCCCTTAACGCAAAGAGAAGGAAGGAAGGAAGGAAGGGGCAAAG